CCACACACCAGGTCTGCGCCTGGAAATGGTGATTACAGTCACTGGTCCACCCACTATTCAAAGATGTGGAGGAACAATCTGAAAGCTTAAGAGTAATTTCTCTTCTAAATTTACCATTGTCCCTGCTTCTCGGAGAAAGGGTAAGTTACCTATTGCATTCACACAAGATAATTAACAAATAATTTCATTTCATCTCTGCAGCCATTGAGACACAGAAGTGAGGGTGTGGGTAAGCCAGGGGAGAGTGGAGACAGAGGGTTATGGGAATGCCGGCACAGGGTCCCATCTCCTTCTGAAAGTGTAACTTTGTCTGCATTGCTACCCCAGGGCAGTAGAGCTAAAGGAACCCAATAGATGGACCCACACAGGGATATCAATAAAACACGCGGGGTGCATTTCTGCTGTGCAGCAGCCAACCTCTTTGGCTCTTAAGGAAAGCCAGACAGGTGTTAAGCATAGTATCCAAACTAAAGAAACTTTGGAAAGGCCATTAAAAGGCCCAGGTAGGCTAGCTTACCTCCTCAGCATAGTAGGAATTCTTTGCAGGAAGGGAGTTAGAAATGGAACTCTCCGTGGAAAAGGAGAAAAAACACTTATGTAAAACCTTTTTTTTAAGTGCAACACAATGCCATAAGAATTTGGAGATGCCTACACATTTAAACACTGTTTACTTGGACTATTTAACTGAAATCATATACTGAATGTTATGCAAAAACTTAATTAGGCACATTTATCAGTTTGATTAATTGATAAAAGATTAGCTATGCCGCTGCCTTGTTATTTATTACAAAAAAGTTGAAAATGAACGTCAGCCCACACTGAGTTATATATACCAAGTAGGGAAGTGGCCTTTGTGTGAGAGCCAAAAATTTATTTTTCTTAAATATTTTCTGCATCTGAATACATGAGAGGAAATAAACATAAATATATGGAAAGGAAAGCTAAGGTTCTATCTCTGAAATGGGAATTATTTGAAAGTTGGGTTACTTTAATCAGAAAAAATAACATTTTGCAATATGTTTATCAACACGTTTTATAATTGAGGACAACTGGAGGCATTTATTTTTTTTTAAGAATTTTGTTGGTCTTTCAATACAGTAAATGTGTCTTTTCTATAAAGCATTCAAAAATGCATAAAGTAAAAAATAATACAATTGGCGCCAGCCAAGTGGCATAGTGGTTAAGTGCACGTGCTCCGCTTTGGTGGCCCAGGGTTTGCGGGTTCAGATCCCGGGCACAGACCTACACACTGCCCATCAAGCCACACTGTGGCAATGTCCCACATACAAAATAGAGGAAGATTGGCACAGATGTTAGCTCAGGGACAATCTTCCTCAAGCAAAAAGAGGGAGATTGGCAACAGATGTTAGCTCAGGGCCAATCTTCCTCACCAAAAATAAAAATAAAAAAAATACAATTAAAATCCTACCTAATCCCACTCACCACTATGCAGAGGCAATCAGTGCTAGTATTTTGGTAGATAATTTTTCAGGTATTTCCTATGCATTTATATAATGATTTGATAAAAATAGAACTAGGAACCCATTATACATAGTTTCATAACACGCCTTCTTCACTTGGCCCTTTACTGGGATTGGTTCTCATGTCAATAAAGCTGATGCCACCTCATTTATAACTGCTGTGTTGTACTCCATGATATGCATTACTCAACAAACCCTTATGTTACTAGGTATTAGGTTGTTTCTTAACTGAACATACTGAGTAACTGAATAAACATCTTGGTAGCTAATATCTGTGCACATCCTTAATCAGTTCTTTGGGATGTGTTCATTTAAGTAGCATTGCTGGCCCAAGTATGCTCAGCAAAGCAAGTTCTTGATCATATTGTCAGTTATCCTCCGGAATGCTTGGACCACAGATGTGTCAAAGTGCTGACTTTCCAACTCCTCACTAGGATTGTTTCCTCCCTCCCGTGGTTTTTATAAATTTCAGCTGGGAACTGGATGTCATCTTGGGCGAAGCTCCTCTCTCCATCTGTGAGCCATCGCTGACAACTTTCTTAACACTCCAATATTCCAGGCACCTGGGGAATGAATGATTGAGTATCTCGACGGGGATAAGGTTGATAGATAGATAGATAAATAGATAGATAGATAGATAGATAGATAATAGATAGATAGATACTAGATGATAGATAGATGATAGAGAGATAGTTAATAGATAGACAGATAATAGATAGATAGATGATAGGCAGATTTTTTGATTTCTGGGGAAAGCCTATGCAAACTCCTCAGTTTTTTTTGGTGAATCAAATTTAATAATATAACTGATTAGCTAGAGAAACCAAAGAATTTGGATGTAGCAGAAATGCCAATTGATTTTCTCTCTGTCCAGGCTTCTTTCAAGATGCATGAGAACTTAGATAAATATCCTTAATTTCTTACTTTCCAGTTTGAAACCAATGCAGTTGGACCAGACTTTTGGTTTCTAGCCTTGGGTGCTTATAACATCGTCTATTGCAAACTTACAGTAAAGCGCCTTTACTTGAGCTGGCTCGAGGGGCCTTCTGTTTGGCAGAACAAGTCCCCGAAGAAAAAAGAAGGGCACATTTTTACCACAAATCTCTATCTGCTGCTGTCACCAATTCAAAAAGCAGAAATGGTTATTTGGAATCACAGAATGAAAAACCTGAATAGGACCTCAGAAGTCATAATCTAGCATGCTGGAGAAAGCCTGCATGCAGGCTTGGCTGATGTCTCACATATAGTTGTAGAAACAACAGGTCCCCCAGAGCTACTCACTTTTAGCATACCAGGCTAAAGTGCACTGATTGTTCAGGAACATAAAACTGCTCTATTAGAGAGAACACTCATTTATCACCATAGAAAGAGCAATAGGAGAACAAATTTCTGCTACTGACTGTAGTCTGATAAAGCTAGTACTGACCATATTTTCTAGTGTTTTCCTAGTGGGGAAACACTTTTTTTTTTTTGAGGAAGATTAGCCCTGAGCTAACATCTGCTTCCAATCCTCCTCTTTTTTGCTAACATCCTGAGCTAACATCCGTGCCCATCTCCCTCTACTTTTATGTGGGACACCTGCCACAGCATGGCTCGACAAGCAGTATGTAGATCCGCACCCAGGATCCGAACCGGCAAACCCTGGCCGTGGAAGCGGAACGTGCAAACTTAACCAATACACCACCAGGCCGGCCCAGGAAAACACTTTCTGGGAAGCATCTTACCCTGAGAGATACATCTAGTGACTGGCATGCCAACCAAAAATTTTAGTCACTTGTCAGCTTTGTGACAACTGATAGCAAGCAATGTCAGGTTCTCCAGCTCAATGGAGCACCTGGGATAGAGTATCTCCCTTAACATAAGTACCCCAAAGGAGATGCTTCACCCTAAAATGGCAATGAAATATCCCCCTTTTTTATTATTCAAACAGCAGAGATAAACAAAAAAGAAAAAATGAAAACAAAAGCACCCAAAATGTCAAAATTAGCATTTTGGTGTGAATTCTTCCAAACTTTCTGTTTGGGCATATGAATTTAATAACGTAGCATAAACATCTTTCCATGTAAAGAAATACAACTGCATTTTCATTCTCCACAGCTGCATAGCATGGATGCATCAGAGTTTATTTTGCCCATAACTTGTGAGAATGAGTTTTAAATGTGGTTCCACCTGCCAGAGTAGGGCAGGCTTTTGTGACACAAATGATTTACCACTGTTATTGAATTCTCAGGACCAGAAAAAAAAAAAGGAACACAAAAGAGTGCAGAGTGCAAGGCATAAATGCCCTTCTGTATTCTGTCTAATGGACATGTGTTACTTTTATAATTAGAAAATACTACTAGTATCAGAGAGAGAGATGGAACGTAGCATGGTTTTAAGCCATGCAGATGTGCAAACATGAAAACTACTTCATTGATTATGTCTGTGTTAGTCTGGGTCCTCAGAGAAGCAGGTGCCAAATGGGATTAAATTCAATGTGGAAGGATTTTCACCTGTGAGAGAGAACGGGCAGGGGGCTGAACAGGGCTGGGAGAGCTGTCAGAAAGAGGGAAGAGGCAAGGAAGGATGGGTGGACGCATTTCAGACTGCTTCAATGTCTAAGGAAAGTTTGACAAGGCTATGGGGACACCTCAGCCACGCCAACCATCAAGTAGTCCCTTGTCTCCCAGGGACAGCTCTGCCTTAGTATCTGGGCACACTCAACCATCAACTGGGAGCAGCCCATGGGCAGCCCTGTCGTGGTGCAAAGGTAGCAGTGAATTTCACACCCTCGTGTCTGGATACCCGGTCAATTATGGTGTCTGTAGTTAGGCTGTGACTCACGCCTTCATGGCCATCACAGTCTGACAATTATAAGAATATTGACATTTTACCATGACTTTTTCAGCACAATCTATAAAGTGGTGGTGTCAAGCGACAAAATGTGCTGACTACAACTACAGATCTTACGGTATTTACTCGTCTACCTAAGAGAGGTCTCTTTCTACTAGAATGTAAGGAAACGTTTTTTAAGAGGTAATTAATGGCAGCAATAAAGTCCATGATGTGTAATTTTGCCTTTACAGGATCAGACAGCATAAGTCTAATATATTTAGCTGCGATATTTGCATGAGATTAGTTTTATAATTAGATAATCCTAATATGTAGCTATAAAATCTAGATGAGAACCACTTTATACTGGCAAGTTTGCATTCCATTAGTGATACACTTTGAAAAGAGCATGCTATATTAGCAATTAAACTTAGCTAACAGAGAAGACTCCTACCCAGAGGGCTGATCCCAAATCTCACAAATTATAATCATACAAATAATAAAATGAGGCGTAGAAAACTGAGGTTAAGCAAAAAATGGTTTTATGAATAAAATTCCATCATGGTGTTGAGGTCTATCTAAAATGCTGTTGTTAAATCAAAGACATAGGTTTTTAAAATTCATTAACATTTTTAGTCTTGTAATAATTTCAAATTTTCATTATGTCGCTGAAATGTTTCGGCAGCCGAAAATCACATGGACAGTTGCTTAGTCAACTTTCTCCCTTTATTGAAGGCATAAAAATGTGACTCTGGAGGTCATCCAGAGTAGCTCCAAGGGATGAGCGCGTGCAGACGGACCAGGCAAGCATCAGGACCAGCGGACCCACTTCAGTGGAAGGAAAGGGCACCAAAGGGTCCAGGAAAGGGGCCATCAAATAGAGTATAGCATATTTTGGGAAATCTGTCCATTTTCTGCAGGGCAGCTGCTTACAAGGAACAGGACTAAGGTAGGGGATGCTGGAAAGTATTAGAAGCCAACCAGGAATGCTTCGCGTCTCATTTTGGAAGGGGGCTAGAGGGGTTAAGCAGGGCAATCAAAGAAACTCTGGCTTCAGGACCAAGGTGCATGACTGAGGCAGTCCTACACGGTAGTGGCTGTTCCGTGTAGTGGAATTCATGAAGACACAGACCTCAGCCCCAGCTCTCTTTGGCTGTTGGGATAGAGACACGTCCCTCACAGGCTTACCATTGCCTCCCTTCCTAGCCACTCTCTGTATTCAGACTCATACCCCCCATCCTGTGCTCCTCATCATGCCTACAAATCTCAGCCCAGAGCTCCACGCTGTGCCCACCGATTTGGCAGTCCTCAATTGCCTCATTCACAATGGCCCAGGACATGCGTTTTCTGCCTAGAGTCCAGCTGAGATTCAAAATCAGCCCACTTAGCTGGAGCCTTGACAATGCTCTAGACTTTTCTAACCTTTCTCCCCAGGGGCAAGAAGATATTTCCAAGGACTGCCAACCCTAGCCCCTTTATGCCTGCCTGTGCTGCTGTGTCCTCCCCACTGAAGTCAGTCCCCTCAAGACCAACGCAAACTAAGGTTTAATTGAATGGATCTCTTTGGACGTTGATTATTAGATTTCTGACTACTTACCTCCATCTAACTCTATAATCCAAAAGAAAAAGCCTTTCTCTATGTCTTGCTTATAAAATCTTTGTTCAGATGTACACATCTATAGACAACTGAGTGAAGCATGCCATCTACTGGTAAAATGCATTATTAACTTTAAGAGAGTGTTGTTTTAACGTTTTTGAAGTTCTGGACCATTTCTGAGTTCATAACAGTGAGCCACTTAACACAATCATGTAAGGAATACCCATGCTATCAGGCATGTAAAGCAGCAGATAATGGAATTTGAGAGAGTGTGGAGTGTGAAGGAAGTGAGGAAGTGAATATTTTTACTATACTTATTTCTCTACACGGTTCAAAGAAAGCCAATAATTGATTTACACTAATTTTTTTAAAGAAATGCATTCTGAAGAAAAATTGAGAAATATCCTTACTGATCATTCACACGTAACTAGATTTTGTATAGTGTAACAATTCAGATGAATATCCACAGGTGTGTTTCTCAAACAGAATGTTAGAACATCTGAGTTTTGAGGTGAGTAATGTGTTACCAAACGATCAATAAGTGACGTCAGCAAGATGGCAGAGTAGGACGCCTTGGACCATCTTTCCTCCTACAAACTCACCAACTCAGCAAGAATTCATGGACAAATTCCCTTTGTGAGAAATGCAGAAACTAAGCGAAAGGCTCCTGTACTCTAGCTGACTATGAAACGAGATGCACCAAAGCTGGTAGGGAGATTCAGGACATCCTCTGCCTAGAGTCCCTGCCTCCAGCATAGCACTGTACAGTCAGAAAGAGATCCCTTGCCTCTTGGCTTCTCCTAGGGGAGGGAAGCGGCTGCTGTGCGTGTCCAGTGCCCCACCTCCCCTGAAAGGGGTCCCAGAGAATTAACCTCTGTCTTATCAGTCTTGGAGCTTGGATGGCTCCACCACAGCGTAGCAGCCTGGAGGAGAGCAGAGATGGCAGTTTGGGTTGGCAGAGACCATAGCTACCCCCCTTGCCCAGTGCAGAGAGAGCAGATGAAAAAGCAGAGATCTGGAGAGAAGCCTCACATTTCATAAGGGCAGTAGGGCCATATAGGATCTGGCTCTAACAACCTTTCCAGCCTCCACATCAGGGGCACCCACTTGTCCCAGGCAGATGGTCAGGTGGGCAGGGGTGGGCCATGGCCACACAGACCTAGAGGGCATGGACGCCTGAGATCAGGTACAGGGGAGCAAGCTGCACAGACATGTGCCGTGCAACAATCAGCATTCAGGCCTTTCCTGCTGGAATGCTTAGAGTCAAAATTTTGGCCAACCTGTAAACATACATTAGGGCCTTGAAGCATGCATTTTGCCTATAACTTCACTTCTGGCTTCATTAAATTTATTCTACTCTCTTCTTTCCCATATTCCACATTCCTCCCCAAATATTTTGTTGAATCTTGTGTGCATTTAAATAAGCCACCTTAAATCCTCTGAAAGACAGGGTAAAACTAAACATAAAGATTATGGCGGGGGTTACATTTTTCTATTACTATTATTATGCATAGCCACGTGTTTTTCACGTGGTTGAGGTGAATTTTTAACTTGAGGTAACATTGAGTTTTCCTCCAGAGAATATCGTTCTTATTATCCCTGCCAGGGAGCAGTGCCACATAGTTATGTGATGATGCGATCTTCTACGTATTATCTTCTCAAAGTTCTAGGAAAAGAAAGACAACACTTGGTAAGGTACAGACAGGGCTATATGCTAATTTTAAAGCAGTTATTAGTTGCCATCTTGCACACAAATTCCTAACGTGGTTTAATCACAGAGCTTTTCTTTACCTACATACTGTCCGATTCTGCAAGTAAGGAATCAACAAGGAGGAACAAACCAACAAGTTCATGAACAAACTCTTGTGACAGGGTGAAAAATATTAATTTGTGAACGTTCCTGGCAGCAGCCTCAGTTCTGAAGGGGCAATCTGGGGGACGCAGCACCTCAGCATCCACTACAGGCAGAACCAGATTCTCAGTTGAAGGGATCTTAGCAATCACCTCACTGTAATCTTTGATTTAAAGCCAGCAGTCCAGTACAGAACCTTGCCTGAGTACCTGCCAATGCCACTAGCAGCATCCTGCACAAGCTATTGGTCAGATATGATCCCAGGATAGGACCGAATTTCAAAAGCATCCCTGTTGATAGCCAACCTTTTTATTAACAGTTTTGGATCCATTCAAGAGACAACAATGGACTGTAGAGTTAACATCTTCCTGAGACAAAAATGGAACGATCCCAGGCTGAAGCTCCCTGGAGATTTTCGGGGCTTAGATGCACTGACAGTGGATCCCACAACATACAAGTGTCCGTGGAAACTTAATTAGTTTTTTCCAAATGAAAAAAGTGCCAATTTTTATGATGTAACACAGGAAAACATCCTCTTTATTTTGGGGGATGGAGATGTCCTCGTCAGCGTGAGGTTATCTATTGTCTTTCACGCCCTTTGAACTTGACTTTGTTTCCCGTGCACACACAACATTGTAAGACACAATTTAAGAGCTTTGTTTACACAACTGATGATTTACGATTTGTCTGGCAGTCAGGGGATCCTCTCAGTTAGAAAAAATTGTGCTGCCTCAATTTGATATTAAAAAGGAGGATGTTGAATATGGTGTAACTGTACAAAATACTATGAAGGTACTGGCTACTACACACATGTAGAAGTCATCCTCACCCTAAGGAGACAGATAGGGTTTTCCACGATGGGTGTCTATGCCCCAACCCTGCTGATTGTGGTTCTCTCTTGGCTTTCCTTCTGGATCAATCCAGATACCAGTGCTGCCGGAATGCCCCTGGGTATCTTCTCAGTACTCAGCTTGGCCTCTGAGTGCACAACCCTTGCTGCTGAACTCCCCAAAGTATCGTACACTAAGGCTCTTGATGAATGACTCGTTGCTTGTCTTCTCTTTGGGTTTGCCTCACTAGTGGGTGCTGTTGAATAACCCCAAATAAGTTGAAGTAGAAAATGCCAGAATTGCTAAGGCTGAGCATGCATCTGGGAAAGGTGGAAATGCGGCTCAAAAGAATACTGTGAATGGTCCAGGGACTCCTGTGTACATTAGCACTTTGCTGGTTGGAGAGCTCAGATGCAAAAAGGTTTGTACTTCTAAGTCTGATCTGAGATCTCATGACTTCAGCGTTGTTGGAAGCTTACCAAGAGATACTGAATTACCCAATTATGACTGTTATTAACAATGAAATCAACAATGGATTTGGGAAATCTCACACAGAGAACAAGAAACCACCTCCTGCCAAACCCATTATTCCAACGTTATTCCAATTTGCAAAGCAAATTGATCTTTAGGCAAGAGTGTTGTTTCCCTTCTGCTGCTTCTTTTTCAATGTTATAGATGGGTCTACATATTTATGATAAATCTTTCCCATTTGTATAAAATAAAATCCCATTTCATTGTGAGCAATCTCATTCATAAATACCAATCTATGACATTTTTTTCATTTTCATAGGTATATATTGCATTTTGTATGCCATTTGTTCATAATAAAAAATGTGGCACCTTAATTTTGAATGGCAGCGTGATCTTGTAATGTCTGCCCTCTAATAATGATGTATATATGTATAGTAAACATATTGGTTTAGGAATAAATGAAGGATAATCACACTACATAGTATAAATCCAAACAATTCTCTTCATTTACTGTAAATTGCAAACAGTGGATAATTCTCATAAGATGATATGCACACTGAATATTGCTATGGTCACCATTCTCGTGTATGTAGTGTTCAAATTTCCTTCCTCGTAACTTTCAGAGGAAGCCATTTTATTCTTGCATAACTTTAGATGTACTTTTTCCTTTCCTATTTGGGTGCTTTTCTTTCTTTTTCTTGCCGAATTACTCTTGTTAGATCTTCCAAAACTATGTTAAATAGTAGTGGCAAAAGCAGAGATCCTTGTCTTGTTCTTGATCTTAGAAGAAAAGCTTTCAGTCTTTCACTACTGAGCACAATGTTAGCTGTGGATTTTTCATATATGGTCTTTATCATGTTGAGGAAGTTCTTTTCTTCCTAGTTTACTGAGTGTTTTTATCATGAAAGGGCGTTGGATTTTGTTAATGTTTTTTCTCTATCAATTCAGGTGATATTTGTTTCTTCCTTCATTCCATTAATATGGTGTGTTAGATTCATTGATTTCATATGTCGAACTACCCTTGTGTTCCTGTGATAAATCTCACTTGATCTCAGTGTATAATCCTTTTAATATGCTGTTGAATTCAGTTTGCTAATATTTTGCTGAGGATTTTGGCACTGATACTCAGAAGGCATATTGTTCTGTAGTTTTCTTTTTCCTGTAGCCCCTTTGTCTGGCTCTTGTATCAGGGGAATGCTGGCCTTATAGAAAGAGTTAAAAAGTGTTCTCTCCTTTTTTGGGGCCAAGCCCCATGGTGTAGTGATTAAGTTCAGCATGCTCCATTTTGGTGGCCTGGGTTTGGGGCTTTGGATCCCAGGTGCAGACCTACACCACTTGTCAGCCATGCTGTGGTGGTGACCCACATATAAAGTGGAGGAAGACTGTCACAGATGTTAGCTCAGGGCTAATCATCCTCAAGCAAAAAAAGAGGTAGACTGGCAACAGATGTTAGCTCAGGGTGAATCTCCCTCAGGAAAAAAAGTGTTCCCTCCTTTTCAAATTTTGTGAGGAGCTTGAGAATTGGTGTTAATTCTTACATAAATGTTTGATAGAATTCTCCAATGAAGCCATCTGGTCCTGAGCTTTTCTTTCTTGGGAAGTTTTTAACTACCGATTTAATCTCCTTACTTACTATAGGTCTATTCAGATTTTCTATTTCTTCTTGAGTCAGTTTTGATAGTTTGTGTCTTCCTAGGAATTTGTGCGTTTCATCTAGTTTATCCAATTTATTGGCAGGCAGCTGTTCATAGTATTCTCTTATAATCCTTTTTAATTCTGCAAAGTGGGTGATAATGTTCCTTCTTTCAATTCTGATTTTAGTAATTTGCACCTTCTCTCTCTTTTTTTAGTCAGTCTAGCTAAAGGTTTGTCAAGTTCGATCTTTTCAAAGAATAATCATTTGGTTTGGTGATTTTCTCTATTGATTTTATATTCTCTATTTCATTTACTTCCATTCTAATCTTTATTATTTCCTTCCTTCTGCTAAGTTTGGGTTGAATCTGCTCTTCTCTTTCTAGTTCCTTATGGTGTAAATTAATCGATTTGAGACTGTTGTTCCTTTTAAAGTAATCATTTACAGCTCTAAATTTCCCTCTTGGCACTCCTTCTGCTACATCCGATAAGTTTTGGTATGCTGTGTTTTTGTTTTCATTCATCTCAAGGCATTTTCTAATTTATGCTTTCTTCTATGGTTTTAAGAATGTGTTGTGTAATTTCCACATATTTGCGAGCTTTCCAGTTCTCCTTCTGTAATTGAATTCTAGTATCATTCTATTGTAGTCAGAAAAGATACTTCATATGATTGCAACATTTTTAAAATTTATTAATTTATTAAGACTTTTTGGTGGCCTAACGTATGGTTTATCTTAGAGATGTGCCATGTGCACTTGAGAAGAATGTGTGTTCTACCATTGATTGGTGGAGTGTTCTGTACACCTTTTATGTCTAATTGGACTATAGCACTGTTCAAGTCCTCTATTTCCTTATTGATCTGTCTTGTTGTTCTATCCATCTTTGAAAGAGAGATATCGAAGTCTCTAACTGTTATTGTGGGACTGTCTATTTCTCCCTTCAATTCTGTCAAAGTTTGCCTCATATATTTTGGGGCTCTGTTGTTATGTGTGTATACGTTTATAATAGTTATATTTTGATGAATTGAATATTTTTCAATATATAATATCCTCCTTTTTCTCTTGTAAACTTTTCTTGGTGTAAAATATATTTTTATGATAAAAATATAGCTACTCTAGCTCTCTTTGAGTTTCTATTTGCATGAAATATATCTTTCCATCCTTTTACTTTCAACCTCTTTGTGTCTTTGGATTTAAAATGAATCTCTTGTAGACAGCATATAAATGGATCACATATTTTAATCTATTCTGCCAACCTCTGCTTTTTAATTGGAGAATCTGCTACACTCACATTTAAAGTAATCACTAATTAAGAAGAATTTACTTCTACCACCTACCTATTTGTTTTTTGTATGTTCTACGTGCTTTTCTTCCTCAATTTCACCATTACTGGCTCTTTTTGTATTTGGTTAATTTCTTTGTAATGTACCATTTGGAGTCCCTTTTTTCTGTAATTTTTAAAAAATTTTCTTAGTGTGACCCCTCAGGAATCCCCACTAGGGAATTCTAACTAATATTCTCAAACTTCTAACAACCTAGTTTGAATAACACCAACTTAGTTTCAATAGTATAGAAACACTCTGCATCTCTGTCTCTCTCCCTTTTATATTATTACTGTCACAGATTGCATATTTATACACTGAGTTCTCATTAACATATGTTTATAATCTTTATCTTATTTATTTGTTTTTTATATACTACAGAAAAAAAAGAGGAGTTGGAAACCAAAAGTACAATCATGCTGGCTTTTATATTGACCTATGTAGTTACCTTTACCAGTGTTTTTTATTTCTTCATATGGCTTTGAGTTACTGTCTAGTGTCTTTTCATTTCGGTTTGGAGCACTCCCTTTACATTTCTTGTAAAGCAGGTCTATTAGTAACAAACTCTTTTAGTTTTGTTACCTTGGGAATGTCTTAGTTTCACCTTCACACTTGAAAGATAGTTTTGCTGGATGTAGAATTCTTGGTTGACAGTTTTTTTCTTTCAGCACGTTAAATGTGTTACCCCACTGCCTTGTGGCCTCCTGTGGTTTCTGATAAGAAATCATCTGTTATTGCGGACTGTAAGTCACTTCCCTCTTACTGCTCTCAAGATTCTGTCTTTGTTTTTGGCTTTTGACACTTTGACTGTAATGTATCTCAGGTGGATCTCTTTGAGTTTATCCTTCCTAGAATTCATTGAGCTTCTTGGATGAGTAGATTTAAGCACGTATCATATTAGGGGAGTTTTCAGCTATTGGTTCTTCAAATATTCTTTCTGCTCTTTTCTCTCACTCTTTTTCTTCTGGGATTCCCATACCACATATGTTGGTCTGTTTGGTAGTGGCCCACAGATTCCTTAGGTGCTGTTTGCCTTTCTTCTTTTTCTTTTTTATTTCTGCTCCTAAGACTGGATGATTCCCACTTTTCTACCTTCTAGTTTGCTGGTTCTTTCCTTTGTGTGCTCAAATTTGTTTTGAACCCCACCAGTGAACTTTTCAATTCAGTGATTGCATTTTTCAGCTCCAGAATTCTTATTTGGTTTATTTTTATAATTCCTGTTTATCAATATTCTCATTTTATTCGTACATCGTTTTCTCGACTTCCTTTAGTTTTTTCATCCATGATTTCCTTAAGCTCTTTGAGCATATGGAGATAGTGATTTAAAGTCTTTATCCAGTAAGTCCAATGTTTGGGCTTTCACAGGGATGGTTTCCGTCAATTTTTTTCCTGTGAATGGGCTGTGCTTTCTTATTTCCTTGTACATTTTGTGATTTTTGTTGTTGTTGTTGAAAACTGAACATTCAACTATTATAATGTGGTAGCTCTGAAAATCAGTTTCCCCTCTTCCACAGGGTTTGCTCTTCTGGATTGGTGCAGACTTAGTTTGTGTTCAGCCAGTGTTTTGACTGAGATTTCCTGGAAAGCCAGGAGTTTAAAAACAAGACCATCAGGGAATTACCTCTCCAAGGCTTTGTGGATTCCCTGTGCTGCAGCACTTCTTTAATGCTGAGCCAGGCCATTTACAATTCGGCCTCAGCCCTCCTTCCTATAGATCAGCCAGTGGTAAAAACTTAGGATCTCTCAGATCTTTTCTGAGCATGTATCTTGCCCTTGGCATGTGCTTAACCTTCTAAATTCCCCAGCACGAGTTGTTTTGAATGTCCTTATTTCCCAAAGAAACTCTTTCCCCAGCTTTTCATCCCTGGCTTTAGGCAGTCTATTATATGTCTCAACCATAATCTTTGGCCCCAGGAAGCTGTGGGATTTGGGATCACCATACAATGTTTTCAAGCAATGCCCATCACCTTTCCTCCCTGAGTGGTTTCTGAGTTAGATGAAACAGAGATGAGTGCCTTGTGTCATCCTTCAGGTAGCCTCCAGACAGCTTAGAACAGAAAACACAATAATTTGTGAATAATATCTGCTCTATTCTGTCTAGAACCAGAGACCAGAGACCCACACGGGGAACACAGGCTGCAATCTTCAAGACTGTCACCAATCTAGGGAAGTGGTAGGGCAAGGGTAAGTAAAAATGTCACAAAGCTTTCATACAATTTTGAAGTTGCCTTTTTGTTGATTCAGCATTCACTTTGTTGCTGTAAACCTCTGATTATTTTCCAGAGTTCTAACAAAGTTGGTTCAGACAGTTTCTGGTTGTTTTTCAAATGTTCCTATGGAAGGATGGGAGCTTGGAGCTGCCTACTCCACCATTGTGCTGACATCGTTCCAATGGAGTCTTCTTGACTCCCCTGTTCTGAGGGCCTGACTTACTCTCAGCTCAAATGCCTTCTTCCCAAAATGACCAAAACAAAACTGATGATATTTCCTTCTAACCTACTGCTCTCTCTGGATTCTCTGTCTGGGAATGGTTAGATCATTTGCTTAGTTACTCAAGCTAGGTAGCTTTATCTTTTCCCACTTACTTGGTAGAGTGGGAGTCAATTGCCAAGTCCTATAGATGCAATGCAGTGTTCTAAGAATTCTCTGATATTCCACTTATCATTACCCCACCATTTCTACATTAGTTCAAGTTGCTGTCATCTTTCACTTTGATTATTGCAATGCCTCCTGCCTGGAGAGCTTGTCTCTCATTTTCCCTCTCCCTCTCCTATATGCATCTGCTCAAAGCACTCTGTGCTTACCCCTAAGAACTTGAGAACACATGTTAATTTTCTATCCCCTGCTTTTAGAGACCTAAGCTCCTTTAACACAACGACTGTGTATATTTAGCCCTGCAACAGTGTCCAGCATGTAGAAAAAGTTGAACAAATTGATTCTTGAATGTCTGAAACAGACCCACAATATTACCCTCAGACTGATATGATATAGTATAGTAGATATAGTAGGAAAGAAGCCAGCCAAATGTCTTTATATATAAACATCAAGATATATATGTGTGTGTGTGTGTACACACATATACATATGATGGCTTAGAAACTTTTAAAACTGAATTCTCTTTTTTGTTTCCTTACCTCTGATTTTTAAAAATCCTACCCATTTTTCAAGATCTGTTTTATTCCTTACCTTCTCCAGCTCCTAGCCATCAAACATACACCTGTTAATTCAGGACTGAATTATACGCTAATTCAAAATCTTCTATACTATTCATAATGTTTCCTTCATCAAAAAATGGAGGGATACACAGACGTTAGGCTAAATCTCCACCATATTGCTAACAAACACTACAAGACAGAACGTAGTCCCACTCATCTCCTCCCCAGTCATTCACCACTGGCATGCTTAATAACACACTGTCTTATGGTGTTTATAATCAGAGATTGTTTCTCTGAGTTTTGTGTCCTCATTAGATTTGTGTTTCCCTGAAGGTAACAACCTTCAATCAATCAGTTTTGCGTTAACCAAGGACGCACAGTTCAAGCAGACACACAATACATATTTTTCCAACAAAACTGTTTATGGGTTGTGCAATCAGGCTTTGGTCTATAATTGAGTCAGACTCATGGAATGAGCTGCGCTATGCCAGAATTTACTTTTATTTTATGCATCTAATATTTTGAAACAATGTTCTTATACTTGGAGAAACCATTGCCTAAATGACAATACTAAATGAACTATGTACTCTTCTCTCCCTGAGGAACCTGGCTGGGGGTGGAGAGGTTTTTCCACTTCACATCACTTTCTCATTTTGCTCCGGAGACTGAGTCTCATTTTGGCCCATCCAGGTGGGGACCACCCTCCACATGTGAAGAGGCTGAACAGTCACCTTGAGGTCAGCAGCCAGAGCCATACGGGTGTACATTTGTGGGCCTGCTCTTTGAAAATAAAGAAGGAAAGTGGGTTTGATGGGAAAAGTCACCTATCTTACACCCCGTCTCCCACACTGCCCAGGATAGAAAAGTTTTCAAGTTTTCTATCAACACCTAAGCAGATTCAACCCACATACACATTATGTAGCTACCTCTCCCCAATAAGAACCTCTTTGCCAAAGAATAGAAACGATTGCCGTTTACTCTATGATTTCTAATATTCTATTATATTACATTATCATATAGCACCCCCAGGTGGTTAGGAGATTCCAAGTTTCTAAATACTTAGAGAACAGAGTTGAGGTTGCTGAATGAGACTTTGACCATTTGAAGTAGAGAAGCAGGGGGAAGTCAAAAAGAAGGACTGTATGAGACTGTGTCATGGCAGACGCACAAACAGCTCAAGACCAAGGGTTTCTTGCTTGCCCCACTGTCTCCCAGGTCCCTGGCATCTACAAGGCTCAGCTTTGAGGCTTCAAGGCTGCTAGGGAATAGCATAGCGTGTCTGGCAGGGAATAAAGTTTGATTCAGGAATATGGGAAAAGCTCTGGTCTTTCCAGGACAGCCTTGTCCTAGGCCCAGTCCCCATAACAAGCAAAGAAAAGCAAATAATAATTAAAGAGGTACTGCACTTTAGTTTTCCTCAGGATTCTCAGAGACAAACTCTTCAAACAATCTATTAATGGTCTCCATTGCCTCGTAGGTGTTCGATGATCCATGGACAGCATTTTTCAAAACACTTCTTCCAAATTGGGCTCGGATAGAGTCTGGGGACAATAGTTTTGCTTCCTCTGGGTCTGTGGGACCCATCAATCGTCTCCATTCTGAAACAGCATTCCACTTGGTCAGAACCATGACCATAGACGGACCCCTGCAAATAACAATGTTTTCAGAAGACTTGGACTATTTACAACTGTAGAGATTGCATACACAGCTAAAGACAGAAGGCCACAGTTTCATCCAGAGAGCTCCTCTTTATTCTTTGTCCTTATCAGTGTGATTTTGTGCTTTTTTCTCCATTTCTCCCTCTTTCAAAAGGTCTTGGTGCTAAAAGAGTGCTGTAGTTTAACTCTAGTGGTATATGCCAGGCACTGTTCCAGGTACTTTCAATGTATCGATTATTTAGGCCTCAAAATAACCTATGAGGTAGGTACTGTTATTATCCCCATTTTACAGATAAGAAAACTGAGACACAGATTAAGTATGTTAGCAAAGCAGATAAAAACCTAGACAGCTTCTATATCTAAGCTGAAGACCTAAAGAGACAGAGGAAGGAAAGAAGAAAGCAAGGAAGGAGAGAGAGGAAGATAGGGAGGGAAGGAGAGAAATAGAAAAGGAATGAACCCCAAATATTAACAGGCTGTCTTTTCATGAAGGAGATTAGATGAAACGTTTTACTTAATTTTTGTATTTTTCAAAGTTTCTACAATGAACATTTACTACTTTTATAATGAAAAGAACTATATATCAGAAACTTACTCAGATAACACTGCCAATACATCTTTATAAAAGTCTTTTCCTTTTATTTTGAAATAAATTTTCTCCGCTAGCTCTTCAGTTAGCAGCATTTCCTTGACCTGTGTTATATCAAATCCAGCCTCTTTAATGAGACTCAAGATCTCCTCTAGAGAAAAGAGAGATGTGGTAATCTTGCAGACTGCCTCCACTTTCGCTCCACATGCAATTAGATTGAAATAACTATGGAAATTAACAGTTTTACTTGCATCCCGTGGTTTAAAAAACCAAAAGTACGCAAAACTAAATTGAATTAAAAAGCACCCCACTGATATTCAGAAGAACTTTAATATGTTAATATAGACATTCATTCTCTGAGTTCTATCTTTCCAGAAATCACCCGGAACATCCAAGGGACTAGAAAACGGGGAGAAGAGGGGATCTGCTCCTCTGCTAAAAGTCAAGACGTGTTTTCATCTCTGTGCTTCAAAAGCCAAGGGACTTCCTGCTAGATATGGATTGAAGGGGAAAGCCAAACTGAACTCTTCTCCCTAAGGAGGAGAGTGCCACTGAGGAAATTAAATAAAGTAAATCTTGGCAAAATCTCACCAACTGCCTAAACTTTGAGTGCTACATTCTGGAGAGGAAGATGTTCATTGCATTATTCTTTCAACGTTTCTGTAGTTTGAAAATTTTCACAAAATTTGGAGGAAAATGTAGGCACTGGTTTTTATTTAAAATACTTACCTCTTTCTTGATGTGTTACATGAGGTTTAATCACTGCTAAAGTGTTTTGAGGAGGAAAGAAATGCAGTATTTCCTTTTCAGCGGCTTCTAAGGAATCGCTTCCATATAACTGGTTGATAGGCAAACTTCCCATTGCAAATTGTGCACATAAACTTTCAAAAAGAAGTCAGGTTAAAAACTGTTATAGTATAATATAACATAATATAACATAACATAGCACAAGCTAACACTATTTATATAAATTGTTTAGAAATTATCAAGCAATAGCAGCTCATTCCTGATCTAGGCATTGTGGGAAAGGAAGCAATTACAGAGTGGCTTGGGGCATGCTACTTCCTTCCAAGGAGGTCATAGTCATTAGGAAGAAAGGACGCGAACATTTCAATAACTGTAATAATGGATATTGACAGATAACTGTGAAAGAAGCAGTGGATGCCGTGGTGTAGTGAAAAAGCACACACTGTGGATTCCTGGTTGCACTACTTGCTAGCTATATGATATTGGGAAATTACATAACTTTTCGGAGCTTTAGTTGTTTCAAATATAAATATGATAGTAAAACCTGCTTTGGAAGGTGATTTTTGAGGGTGTAATCAGATGATGTATTTGAAATATATGGTGCATATTAAGCTCCCAAGAAATATTCCTTCCCCTTCTTTCACCACTAAGTATTATCAACCACTTGAGATGGGATTTGTCTCCATACCAAAGACATCAAATTATAAACACTGGATCCAGGAGACAGTGCAATGGAACCCTCCAGGTGAGAAAGCGCAGCAATAAGAGGAGCATACAGGATGGCTTCGTGTAAAGAGGCAGGAGTGATGTTGGGACGGGACAATCCACGTCGGGTTGGGTAGTTTATTTTGGTTCTGCTTCCTTCATGACAGATGATTACGCATCTCCTAAATCAACGGTTCTTCCTTGATGTTTTTTCAGTTGCCCTTTTCTCTGTCTCTCCATCTATCTATGTAGATTTCAGTAGAGGAGAAGCTCACTGTTCATTTTATTTTCTCCCTGTACACACAGTCCTGAGCAGCCAACCCACAAAATCCACTCATGGTGAATAATACCCCTTTTTGCTAATAGACTAACATCACTGGAAACTTGGCTTTCTGTCCTCAGCTTCAAGACCCTCTCCTTGCCTCTCTGGTTTCAGTGACCCATTCAGATTTCCTTTTTTGCCTTATCCAACTTGACCTTCCCACTCGGCCCTTGGCTGTTCTCATACCTCTGATCTGAAGATACTTGCAGCCCAAGACCCTTGTAGTGTGTGATTGTCAGGGATGGGGGATTTGCACAATGAATGACAAAGACAGTCTAAGCCATCACCAGCACTTACTGCATTCAATGCAGAGAACTACAACCATGGCTCTCTTATGCTGTTAGACATGTTTATTGGAAAAAGTGTATGTGAGTGAGGGGAAGGATGTGTGAGAGGGAGGGGTTGCCGTGTTCCTCTTTTATGCAAGTGACCCTATTTCCAATTACGCGATGCAGAGTGTAGACTCTGATACCCAAGTGCAGGAAAGGGGCAGAGCTCTGCTCGAAGAGTTATTTCTAAAACAACCTGAAAGAGCTGGGTGGAGCCAAGAGAACTGGAAAGGAGGAGACAAATAAAAAATAATGGTCAGGATTAGTTGTGAACTTGTGGCAACATAGAGATCATAAGGGCTCTGGATGAGAATCCTCACAATAACAGTGGGGTGGAGAGGAGAGCCACAGAGGGCCTTCACCTGGAGACAGTGTCTCTGTGCCGGTGTGCTACCTCCACACTTGGAACCACCACTTCTGAAACAGTGTGCCTACAAGCATAGGCCTGTGTTGATAGGAATTCCTCCCTCTGACGCCATGCATTGCATTCTATGCTGCATTTCAGTAAGAAGTTGCATGGCACTCTGCTCACACCACTTACACAGTATCCAACCCATATATCCTTTAAGGTAATCGTCTGGCACAGGAGCAAAGACATAAGTGAATAGGGCTAAATCAGGGGTAAAATGTATCCATTCAGGACAAGCCAGATTCCAGATATCCTACACAAAATAAAACATTTCAGTTTTCATATAAGTGATGTTTCATAAGTGCTGTTATTTATTGTGTCAACATGTCTGCTGAGTTTTCTGTGCCTGGTAAAGCATCTGTATTCTTGCTCACGTGCAGGGAGGGCCTTTCTTCCCCTGAATTGAATCCTACCCTGAAATCAGCACAAAGAATTTAAGTGAATTGCAATTCAGTTTGTTTCCATCGGCTACATGCCAAGGATGGAGATGCATGAGATACTACCTCTGTCTTCCAGGTGATACCAAGCCAACGGGTAAGACCAAAAAATATTTAAACAGTGCACCCTATGGGCCAGGTAACATGCCAGGTGTTGAGTTGATTACAAAGTCTAGCTGATTTCTAAGATTCATCAGGAAATTAAGCAAATGTTCCCACCAAATTGTAGACTACATATTAAGGTAGTCATCATTGTCTTGAAACTCTTATGATTAACTAAAGAATCTGCAGCTGCCACCATACCCTTCTCAAAGGAATTTCTCTTAAATAGTGGATAAGGTGGATATTTTTGCCAAGAGATACCCTTTGGCTGGTTATCCACCACTATCTGTTACTTCCCAGCCCCAAACCAAGCATCCCACAAACTTCTCTTGCAAAGCCTTGGCCGTATTCAGGCTGGCGTTGGGCTGGGCCCTCCAGTAATGAGTGGTCCATGCCTCACTCAGGAACAGCAGCTTTCCTCAGATGCTCCCTTGGACGAGAGCTGTAGTTCCTGGACTCCACATCCAAAAAGAAATTAAAATGGCTCCCATGAAAAATTTGGGGACCCATGACATGAAGCCTACCTCTCTGGAAGATTTTTTTTGGCTTCTTCAACAGTGCTTGGTCCAATTAACTCTTTCCAGTGTTGTAAACCATTGTCTCTTAATAAAACAAGGGCTAGAGATGGACCACTGTTAGAAAATAAAAAGCAAAGTTAATAAAAGTATGGCTCAGTAGCGTATTATATATAGGTAATACAAGGGTGTTTGTTAAATAGACTATAAAAGTCAAAATAATCTTTTTATCAAGGGTCTTAAATTAATTTCCAGTGTACTCTCAAGAGCATATCTATAAAAGGATGAAAGCAGAGAAAGGAAGGGAAGAGAGGGACCTTGGTTCTGATAAAGTTGTTCCTGTATTGTTCCCATGCTCCTGCTGATCTATATAGCTTTCCTGGATTTCTGTCCCAGCTGCTATTTCACAGAAATCTGACAGATTTCTAGCATCTCATGTCTCTCCTAGGACTAGTGATCTTTAGGATTACCAAAGCCCTTGAGAGTCAGATAGTTCTCTGCTTGGACTTGATGTTACACCCAGGATTTCTCGCATTCAACTCAACTGGACTCCAGAAACTTCACCTTCTCGTTGCTCTAATAACATTCTAGGAGAACTCGAGAAGATGGACAGTTGCGCAGAGAATCATGATGAGAATGTGACTGGCAAAGAAGTAGACCTGGCACAGGTCTACAGAATTGAGAGCTGTGGCAACTTGAACAGGGCAGGGTTGAGAGAAGATTTAAATGATTCAAAAATAAATCAGATTGTGCTTTCTAAACCTGAAATCTACTTTACCTGGTCATGTTTTCTATAAGACTTCCAAAATAAACTTCATTTTCATATTTCTTGCACAGTGTTTGTGCTTCTACTTCCGATAATACTATTTGTCTTTGCATAAGTATTTTAAAGCCTTCATCTTGAATAATATCCAAAACATCCTCTAAATTAAAAGGCACATAATAAGTTTTAGTTATATTGGTTATATTCAGAATGTATTATCATGAGGACACACAACGCATTTCATCCTCGTATGAAATTTAAAAGTTTGCAAAAATAGCTTATTAGATTTTAATTTAAGGTGAACGATATTCTTATATCAAATTATGATATTTCCGATTTTTCATCACATAGGAATCATATACACACACACACAGAGGTATATCATTAGTAAACATTTTCTTCAGGTGTTTGTGTGTACAGGCATGTGTGTGTACAGGTTTGTGTGTTCAGACATGTGTACTGTGTGTACAGTAACCAAAATAACCAACCAACACAATCATCCAAGCATTTGTAAATAATTTTTATATTCAAGAGTCTTCATTTTATTTACTCCACTGGGGGAGATACGAGTTTATTGGATACCCAAAAGTATTTCTCAACATCCTTCTCTCCTGCCTACTTCTGACTGTAAAAACCTAGAAAATGCAATACTCGCTTCTCTACCCTTCCCTCTGGATAGTGTGGCAACATGGCCCAGATATGGCCAATCATATACAAAGGACGTATACTGGGAATGCTTCTGAGAGAAGCAGCCAGGGAGAACCTCTCTACCACCTTCTGCTTCCTGTTTTGGACATTTGAGGGACATGATGCTTGGAGCTGTGAGGTCATCTTGCAACAAAGAGGGTAAAATCAAAAGCACAAATTCTGACTCAGCTCGGACAGCACTAAGCCCCTGATCAAGGCCAAAAATGCATCCTTACTGATATATTACCTCTCCCTTTGTGGGCATGAAATGAAGTTAATAAAATAGAACTAAGCAATCAGTTGTCAGGAAAGAGTAAAACAAACAATGAATCATACACACTAATATAATTTAAGCAATAATTTGCTTCAGAACTATCTCACAGACAAGAGAAAGAAAAAAATAGAATATTTATACAGTTCTTGAAATTTAAAAAGGTGGAATTCTTAGAGGAGACAAATTATTTTTTTAATTTTTGTATTACTAAATTAAAAAAATATTTATCATATGAGAGTCCCTAATGGCAACAGTTTAAAAAGTGACCACAAATCCTCAAACAATTTGCATATAGGATGGCTTCTTGTAATGACTCATGAGAAAAGTTGAGGAAAAATATTCAGGGAAGGTAAATCTCCATAAAGGTAAAGAAACTAGCCTTAATGGCAGAGTGGGTGGACTGATGTCCTCAAGAATGCTCTCCTTAGCTTGCACTCTGTTTGGTGATCACAAGAATTATAATCCAGGCACATAAAGGGTCCTTGGTATCTAACTATTAAATTGAAAGAGCACTGGGGAGTACCATTATTCACAAGATGGTAATGAGTTTCCTTGACTTCACTACTAGAGGATTAAGTTCCACTTAATTCTGATATAGATAGATATGATAGATATAATAATGAGTATTTTATTTTGTTGCATAGTGTCCATGAGGATTTTCAGACATCATCTCAAGTATTCCAGTGATACCATTCAATGCACATATTCTGTGACAGGTATAGAGATGCAGAGAATTCCTGTTTCTAGATAAAGCATCTAGTAGCTGCATGGACATTTCTTGGAATAACCTGGTCCACAAAAATCATACTTCAAGACCAGAGCACCTTGATATCTTACTTCTCATTAATCACAGACAAATGCTGAGCAAGGTGGCTAATAATCAAAGAAACGTGTACAAATCAGTTCATTCTTATGTGTCTATGCAACCTTGAAAAAATTTGAACAAAAAGAAAGGGAAAAAATTCTATAAGTATCTAAATGAAACAAACGAAAAACTACAAAAACTGAATTATCTACAAAGGAACGAAAAACAGGCTGAAGCAGACTTTTCCTCTGCAACACAAAAGCCAAAGTCAATGAACAAAAGTCTACAGGTTTGGGGATGGAGGATTTATCAAAAAAAAATAAAAAGCAAATTATAGAGTCAGATAAGTTTTCTCTTATATATAAAGGTAATAAAAGACATTCTCAGATACAGTAGGGCTCAGAAAAGAAAATATGTACATATCTCTTTTAAAATTGTATACTTAAATATACACTCTAGATAACTGAGAAGTAAAAACAAGTAATTAAAAAGGAGTGAGAAATTAACAGAGCTAAAGACTGTGTAAAGCGTGAAAACCAGTTCAAATAAGAAAAATTCGAAATAAATACATCTGTTGTAAACCTGATTATAAACAAAATGCAAATTATAAAATATCATCAAAAGGTAAGACATGTATTGTAAAAGCAACTTAACAGCCACCATTTGTACTAAAACCTCAAACAACCTTAAGAAAAACGAAGGGCACAGAAATCAGAAGCGGGGTGGGGCTGAGGCCGGGGAAAGGATTAAAACTCTGTAAACCCAAAGCTCCATCCTCTGCAATGGAGACTTTGGGGGACATCTCCATTTTCAGGAGGGTTGTTTGCTTTGACTTTTCTTTTTCCCTCTCCGGGCCCTGCCTGAGGCAAGCCCAGCCGTGAAGTTGTCCTCTGGAGGTAGCAGAGGCCCCGAAGACATCTACAACTCTGAGAAGAAGTCCTTCCCTGTGACCAGTAAAACTGGGAAGAGGAGCCTCTGTGGCCTGAACAGTGTGGGAGAAACCCTGTTCATTTTTTCTCTCTCCCACGTTTTGCTAACCACTTCACCTGGAGGTAGTCTCAAATGCAGGAAGCACAGGGAAGCTAAAACCCTGAAATCCAGCCAGAGGACCAAGGATCAGGGCCCATGAGATAGATCCAGAGAGCGTGGGGATGGGACAGAGTGATCTCCTAAATCTGTGTTGGTTAAGTGATGGACTCATGCCGAGCTATGCATGTGCCAGGCTGATATGAGGAAACATAACAAAACCTTGAGAACAGAACTACAGTGTACACTACTGCCTAGGTCTCTGAGTGACAGCAAAGTTGTGCACAAATGAGGAAGTCCGGAATAGCATACAAAAGCTTTGAAAATAGAACTTACATTGGTGATAACCCTCAGAAAGTGGGTTGGGACATGTGGTCTGAACCTAACCTGGCTAACTGACTGCTAAAACAAACAAACAAGAAATCAACATCTTCCACAAGATTTTAACGAGATTCAGAGTCTCACAAGATAATATCAAAATGACCAGGGAGCAGAGTACAATACAAAATTATCCAACCTATAAAGAAGCAAGAAAATCTCAACAACTCTAAAGTAAAAATGCAATCAACAGACACCAACCTCCAGATGAGCTAGATGTTGAAATTCTCAGATGAATAACTCAAAGCAGCTCTTATAACTACGTTCCATGAGGTGAGGATGAACACTCTTGAAATGTTTAGAAAGATAAAAGTTCTCAGCAGAGAAATAAATTACAAAAATGAACCAAATGAAATACGTAAAACTGAAAAATATAACAACTGAAATAAGAACTGGATGGGCTGAATGCCAAAATGGAGATCACAGAAGGAAGAGTCAGTCTTAACATCAAGCTAAAACAAAAGAAATGATCCAATGAGAACTACACAAAGAAAAAAAAAACTAAAAGTGAGCAAAGCCTTAGGAAACTGTGGGACAGTATCAAAAGATCTAAGAGGTGTGTCTTTGGAATCCCAGAGAAGTGGAGAAAGAGTTAGCAAGAAGAAGAATATTTAAAGAAATAATGGTGGAAAATTCCTCCAACTTGGCGAAAGATATTAATTTATAGATTCAAGATTCCAATGAACCTGAAACGCAAAGATAAGATCAAAGAAAAGTATGCTCAGATACATAATAATAAAACTGCTGAAAACTAAACGAAAGCAGCCAGAAAAAATACATTGCAGATAAGGAACCAATGTTTTGAAAGACTATGGATTTCTCATTAGAAACCAATGAAGCCAGAAGGCAGTGGCACAACATTTTTAAAGCACTGAAGGAAAATAACTAACAACCCATAATTCTATCTTAGTAAATAGATCACTCAGGAACGAAAGTAAAGTGAAGACATTCTTAGGTTAAAGAAAACTAATAGAATTTCTTGCCAGCAGACCTGCTCTAAAAGAAATGCTCAAGTTCTTCAGGTAGGAAGAAGATGATATCAGAGGGAAACTTAGAATTTCAGAAAGGAAGAAAGGGCAATAGTAAATATCTGGGTGAATATAGTGAAATATTTTCCTTCTCTTAAGTTCTTTAAATTATTCATCACTGTTAAAAAGCAAAAGTTACAACACTGTTTGGTGGAGTATTAAATATATGTAGGTGTAATACACATGGCAACTACAGCAGACAGGGGAAAAGCACATACGTGGTTGTACAATTACTATATTGCACTTGAAGTGGTAAAATATTAACTATAAGTAGTTTTAACTTAGGTAGATATATTGAAATCCATGGAGCAACACTAAAAAACATATAAAACATACATATAGATAAAAAGTCAATACAGTCACGTGTCATTTAACGACTGATATATGTTCTGAGAAATTCATTGTTAGGTTGTTTCGTTGTTGTGTGAACATCATAGAATGTACTCACACAAACCTGGACGGTATAGCCTACTACACACCTGAACTATATGGTACTAATCTTATGGGGCCACTGTCGTATATGCAGTCTGTCATTGACTGAAACATTGTAATGAGGCGCGTGACTGTAGATAAATTGAAATGGAACACTAAAAACCTATTAAAATTTCAAAAAGGAGGCAGGAAAGAGAAAATAGGATAGACAATTCCAAAATTTATCAATAACGACATTTAATGTAAACACTAGGAATAGCAATTAAAATACAAAGATTGTCAAAATGGATTTTTTTTAAAAAGATAACAATATTCTGTGCTCACTGGAAAGAGAAACTTAAATGGAAATGATTCTGGAAAGCTAGATGCAAACTGAAGAGAAGAGAAGTGTAGCAGTCCCAGAGGAGATAAAAACAATGAAAACGAATCATGTTTTTCACCTCTTTTTCTTCTATTATGAATGAGAAGCATGAGGATCTGATTTCAAAATTATCCAGAAAGCTTTGGTCTGAGGATATGCCTTAGATGAC